TTCATTTATTTCTGCTTGAATCTTTATTATTTTTTCTGGTGACTGTAGGCTTTTGGTTGCTGCTCTTTTTCTAATTGTTGGAGATGTTGGGTTAAGGTGCTAATTTTCATGTGTGTATTTATTGCTAAAAATTGGCAAAAATTGCTTTTAATGTGTCCCAAAGATTTTGGTATGTCATGTTATCATTCTCATTTGATTCAAGGAATTTTTTAATTTCTTCTGTTATCCACTCATTTTTAATGAGGGATAATATTCAATTTCCATGTGTTTGCTCTTTTTATGTTGATCTTCCTATTGTTGATTTCTAACTTCATAGCATTGTAATCTGAAAAGATGGTTTGCAATATTTCAATGTTTTTAAATTGATTGAGGCTTGCTTTGTGGCCTCAATATGATAGATATGGTCTGTCCTGGAGAAAGTTCCATGTGCACTGGAAAAGAAAATGTATTATGCTGTTGTTGGGTGAAGTGCTCTGTATATGTCTGTAAGGTCAATTGTATTGTTTAGTTCTTCTGCATCTTTGTTGAGTTTCTTTCCAATTATTCTATCTTTTATTGAAAGAAGTGTATTAAAGTCTCCTACTATTACTGTGGAGCCATCTATTTGTCTTTCCAATTCAGTTAAAGTCTGATTTATGTATTTTAGGGCTCTTTCATTGGATGCATAGATATTTATTACGGTTATGTCCTCTTGTTCAATTGATCCTTTACTCATTTTATAATTTCCTTCCTTTTCTCTTATGGTGGTCTTTGTCTTAAAATAAATTTCATCAGAAATTAATATTGTCATGCCTGCTCTTTTTTGATTGCCATTTGCTTGATATATCTTTTTCCCACCTTTCATTTTTATTCTATTTTTGTCTTTGTCTCTAAGGTGTATCTCTTGTAGATAGCGTATTGATGGGTTATGTTTTCTTATCCAGTCTGCAACTCTACGTCTCTTGAGTGGTGCATTTAATCCATTGACATTCAGTGTAATTATCGACAAGTATGAATTTGTTGCTGTCATTTTATGATGTGTTTTTTTCATGGTGTTGCTGATTTCTTTGTTCTATATAATTTTCTATGCTGAGCTCATTTTGTCAAAACCTCACTTTCATTAGCAGCAGACTTCTCCATTAGGCAGACATACTCAAACCCATTTAACCAACCTCCTAATATTGAGTATTTGGGTTGTTTTGCTTTCATAAAAAACACTATAATGAACATCTTCGGTCATGAAGTCATTTTCATAGCTCTATTATTTTCCTTAGGGTATATTCCCAGTAGTGGAATTCCTGGGTCAGAGGGTCTCTGCATATTTTGAAATCCATAGAATGTAATGACTCCTTGGTCCTCTCATGGGGAGGAGAATTCTGCCCAAGGACCCAGCATAGCTCCTACTTAAGCACTCCTGCTGGATTCTCTTCCTATGCAGTGTCCACACAGTGAAGCCCTAAGTAACATTCTGCAGATTTGTTTATTCCATTTGGATACTAGGCTAAGAGCCAATGTCAGATTTGGAGCCAAGTATCAATTATTTATCATAACAAGGACAGGAATAGCCTGTCGATATAAAAAGAAACCTGAGGAAAATCCCCAAACCTTGTTTTTGGCATTGGTTTCCCCTCCTTTCCCACAGCCCTTCCTGGAGAAGCTAACATTTAATGGAATTGAGGGTGACCACCTTGCTCCCACCTTTGAGTTAGTAGGCAATAAGTTCTCAAAGTGGGAAGAGGAAGAGAAGGGATGAGGCTTGGGGCCCTGGCTGCCCCAGCACAGTTGAAGGGCCCCTTCAGGAAGGAGACCTGACTTATACCTTTGAAGATCAATATCACCAGCTCATCTTTCTCTAGGCTGTCAAGTGACTTTACTCAGTTACTGAGTCCTGGCTTTGGGCCCAGAGTCGAGCACTGTCAAAGAAGCTGTGATCAGAAAGATGTCTATCTCCTTCCTGTTTAACATTGACTTTCCTGTCAGATGAGTCATTTGTGCCCAAATAGTGCCCACAGTAGAGTCTGTGAGAACACCCCAACATGGTAGGCATGGACCCAGAGGTGTAGGGAGAATTGGAGAGGAAGGGGATGTTGGAAGCAAGAGGAGCAGAAGGGCTCTTGAGGGAGCAGAGCAGCCCTTTCTCTGCTGTTAAATGCTGGTCACAAATTACCTGTCTGCTGCCAGCCTTAATTTGACTGAGGCCCATTTTCCTTCCTCGCTAAAAGTGTACTCTTTTTTTGGTTAATGGATTTGGGGCTCATGTCAGTTTTCTAGGGTTGCCGTAACAAAGTACCACAAACTGGGTGGCTTAAAACAACAGATGTTTCTTCTCTCACAGTTCTGGAGGCTAGAAGTTGGGAAGGAAGTTGCACGGGGCCACCCTCTCTCTCTCTCTCTCTCTCTCTCTGAAGGCTCTAGGGGAAGATCTTTCCTGGTCTCTCAGCTTCTGGTCGCTTCAGGTATTTCTTGGCTTGTGGCAGCATGACTCCAATCTCTGCCTCCATCTTCCCATGACTGCCTTCCATATGTCTCTCTCTGTGTTTTTGTTTTTCTCCTCCTCTTGTAAGGCTATTAATCATATTGCATTAGGGCCCACCAACTCTTTATTACTTCAGTTAACATAATGACCATATATACTCAAAGACCCTGTTTCCAAATAAGGTTATATTCACAGGTCCTGGCCATTAGGACTTCAACATATCTATTGTTGTTGTTGTTGTTATGTGCCGTCGAGTCGGCCTCGATTCATAGCGACCCCTCCTTGGGTTTCTGAGGCAGTATCACTACGGAAGTAGGATTGCCCAACCTTCCTTCTGAGGAGTGGCTGGTGGGTTTGAACCG